AGCAGCCACTTGGGGCAGTTGGGAGGCTTGTTAGGAGTGATAATAACATTCTTATGAATAATGTATTAAAATTGAAAGTACGGAGAGGGAAACCGAGCAATTTATAATTTAAATGGCTTTCGATATGGGCAGGGAAAATGATTAAAAACGTTTATGATCGAAATTCATCATTCTAAGGCTGCCGAAAGTGTGTGTTCGGTTCTATAAATCTTAACCCATTTATGGGACCGATAAATGTTTCAGCAGTCGCATAAAGCCAATTTCCTAATGACCGCGATTGTTCGCTTCAATCACGATCTCGCCGTGGTATCTTCAAATCATCTCACAGGGATCTCCATGGCGATATCATTGTATGCAAAGTTCTAAAAGGGAAAATAAAGCGCACAAAGTCGTGCGCTAAATATAAAATTTAATATGGAACTTACACATGTTCTGCAGATGCTCCAAATGGCCCGACAGGGTCTATTCCCATTTGATGATTCCCTGGGATCGGTCCTAGCTCGTCTGGAGTTGGCTGAAAGCTCTCACGCGGCTTAGACGTGGGGGGTGGGGGTTCCAGGAGGAGGTCGAGGGATTCGGGGTCATTTGCTGATTTTTTACGACTATTTCTATCTTAAAGATACAAGTTTATTTATGGCCGGGCTGTAAAGTGCGCCGAGCGTATAAAATGCAGGGAATGACATTGCAACACCCAGTAAGCAGGATCCGATCCGCATCCAAATCTTAAACCAAATCAGAATGGAAATGGCCCCTCCGGTGGGAGTGCGATGGGATGGAATGGAATGGAATGGGGTTCCAGGGAGTAGGTCTGGGTATGGGAACCACTGGCAGGGCACTAAACATGCCGCTCGAATGTGGGTAAGTTGACTCGACTTTAATGTGCCTGGCCAGCTAAATGCAAACGCACCGAGGCCCTGAGATCCAGAGCCACTGTGGGGGCCACCAGCCATCACGGCTGAATGCTAAAAGGGTTCGGGCCACATCGTCTCGCTCCCCGCTTCCTACTCCCGTTTTTTTCCACTGATGCGCCTCATTAGGAGTGGCTGAAAACCAGTTCCTGGTCGCGCAGGAGGAGCAGGAGCTGCTGCAGTAGGACCCCAGACAATTGACAATTTAAACGAATTTCTTTCAAACACAACTCTGACATGGCCCGCCACAAATGACGAATAGCAGAGGATGCCCAAGCCAAAGTTTACGCATGAAATATGCACCACCAGGAGGCAGACTCGGCATCCTTACCCTCCTGGCCTCCTGGTCTCCGTCACTAGTCGTTCGTGGCCAGTTGCCAGTTGCCAGTTGCAAGTTGCAGCTCCAGGGATGCATGTATGAAGTGTCATTCATCTGGCCATAAACGCATTATTCAATATGCCAAGTGCACCGACAAAAAAAAAGTGGTTAAAATTTTTCGATTTGTGTAAGCTTGAGTTGACAGATCCCCATCATCATTTTATTGGACCAAAAAAAGTTGAGCATTAAAGGTTTTTTAAAATAGTAAAAACAATTTACAAAGTTTTTAAAGGCAAGAAACAATAACATTAGGGGAGTGTAGGGTAATTTGACGAGTAGGGTAATGTGACGAACTCGTCGAATCTCATATATGACGTTACGACAAAAATTCCAAATAAATGTAGTCGTCTCCCCTTATCGTGTCGACAATGTATTTACAGTAATATTAATAAGAAGTCCCGTAATTTGTTCGTGAGGTAATTTTCGCTAAAAATGTGGTGCGCAAACTAGCAAACCTATTCAATTTACTTGTGTTTCAGCAGTACCAGAGCAAAGATGAGTGGAAAATAAAATCAGGCAAATATATGCACGTATACATGAGATCTTTATCAACAGTTTTTGGTACCTCGCGTTTTTTTCTTTTGCGCCGTTTGAGAGTGACACCGTTTTTGCTCCAAGTCTACCTTGTAGGGTATCGTGACGAACTTAACATTTACTGCTGCAGTTTTATTGTTGTTTTTAATAGTAAAGTCAGTTTAATTTAATTAAACAAAAAAAAAATTTTTTACTTTAAAAAATTGCACTTTGAACATTTTTTTTTTGTAAGTTTCGGTATTATCTTATTACTTCTTTCTTTTCCGTATCGAAAATAACTTTTCCGTAAATTATATATAAAATTTTTTTTTTTTTTGTGAAAAGGATGATTTACACCAAACGCTGTGGGATTTGGCTACGTTGAAATTTCGAATACAAATTTTTCAGAAATATGCTCAGTAAATGTAAGTAACTTTCTGCTTTTACACTTTTAAAAAATATTGATTTTTGGAGAAGTTACATTAAAGAACAAATCGTTCGTCACATTACCCTACAACTTTTGAAAGTGCAAAAAAAGAAGGGTTCACGCCAAACGCTGTGGCACTTGGCTGCATTGGAATTTCGAATCCGAATTTTACAGGGATATGCTCAGTAGATGTAAGCAACTTTCTGCGTTTACACTTTTGAAAAATATTGATTTTTAGAAAAGTCACATTCAAAAAACGAATCGTTCGTCACCTTACCCTACACTCCCCTATATATATAAGTGAAATTAAACAATAACAAACTTCTGTAAATCAATAAATATTAAGAGGTAATCAGCCATGACTCTGTTATTACTTTTAGTTATTTTATGCTTTAGGGCTAGTACTCAACCCAACAAAAAGTCGTCCAAAACAAAAACTTCATATGAAGCAAAATTTTTTGACGTTGTTTTTCATATGAAGTTTTTTGTTTTGAACGACTTTTTGTTGGGTTGAGTACTAAGCCTAACTTTGCAAAAGTCACAATAAGTATTTCTGCTTAGGCAAATCCTTTAAACAAGAAATACCATTTATTAAAGAATATCCTGTTCAACTTAAATTAATTATTCTTTTTTGATTCCAAAACAAAATTTGACAACTATTAAAAACCTATATTTGGATGTGATCTGTGAACCTCTTATTTTGTCCACTTAAAATTGATATTGATAATTTAAATTTTTGGCCGTTATTTCTTTCAGTGTAGCAGTACATAAGCGGGGGGCAGCAGCTAGACAAACGAGTGATCGGCAGACGGACAACAACAGTGGTATCAGCAACAACAAAAGCAGCAGCACCAACAACAACGACGACGTCTGGCTGAACCTCATACTGTGCGGGGTCTGCGGTTCAGGCTCCTTGACTATCTGTCCGCCGGGCCATCCGTCCGCTCGGTTTTCAAGGTTAACAAGTTGCATTTGCAATTTGGCACTAGGACTGGCTTGCGAGATTTGAGACCCTGGCGAAGAAAGAAGAAGGATCGTATCCGCAGACAAACGGACAATCGGACGGAACTCAACATCGTTGCTCTGCCCCTGCGACCGCATCAATCGCTTTGGTGAGAATTAAATGTTTATGCCTTTTGTTTGGCCAGAAGCCCCTCTTCCCGCCAACCCCTTCCCCTTTAATGAGCGACCTGCTCAATACACAGAACCGAAATCAAGGAAAAGTACAACAAAAAGCACTCTCATCGAATCAAATGATACCCTTGGACGGACAAAGCGATGCCCCAACTTTGGGGCTGATGGAGAAGTATTCAAAAGGTAGGGAAATTGTATTTAAATAATGGCGCTCCGAAGGGGAACATTCAATTGGAATAGATGGACCCTTTCAATCGTTACCAGCGCCTTTTTAAAAATACTTTTTCGATTTAAATATAACAATGACTGTGACTAAACAAATTTACAAAAAATAAATTTACTTTGATACCAAGATTCAAAAAGATTTCTAAATTTGACTAACTTGTAAAAACAAATTAATTTGCTTAGTGGTTTCGAAAAAATGTTTAATCCAGGAACACATTGGGTATTTTCAGTCCTAATACAATCCTTTAAAAATGTTTCTGAGAGAACATTAATATTTATAGTTGTTTTTAATTTTCAGTAAATTCTCAATTGACTTATAAAAGCAAGTCTGAGCTAAACATAATTTCCCCTTTCATCGTTCCTTACTATTTCGCCTGAACAAATTTATTTCCGACAATTCAAAAACCGAAGGATCCTTCTTCATGCCACAGGCTGAAGACTCAAAAAGAATCGATTGGACCGAAGAGCATTGCAGTGAGGAGTCGGCAATAATACGACGCTGATCTATTATTCCCTAGATTGTAAAAATGTAAAAATCACGCTTTCGTGTTGTGTATAAATTGAATGCAATTTATAAATGTCCAGAGTAGAATTAAATCCCCAGCCGTCGGCACAGGCCACGATCGGGTGATGGTGATTTTTCAAAATAAACAACCTTGAGCTGAGGGCTCCGCAGCTCCTCAGCTCCATTGCTCCAAAGATCCAGAGCCGAGAACAATTGCCAGAGCCCAGAGCAACAATAGACGGCAGCAGCAACAGCCCAAAAGGATCCGCCAGATCGGATCCCTTGGAGCCACAGATGAAAAATTGCGCCAATTGAATTTGACCAGCGATTGTGGTCGATTGCTCCTCATCGCAGGCTGGCTGCGGGACGTGCCTTCCGAGGATCGGGGAGCCAGGCGTGGGGAGGTGGTAATCCACTGGGCGGTCGCTTAGTTTTCAACGCATTTATCAATACCCAAGTGGTTCGCTCCTCCCCTACGAACCCCTTTGGATCCCATTTCAGGCGTTGACAATGCCAAGGGCGGTGACGGGTGCCTTCGTTTAATATATTTGAGCAGAAGAGCAAAAGACTGCCGCCGTCTCTGATTGAAGATGAAGCCACAAAATCGATTTGCCACAGCTTACATCATTCACGGGGGAGCTCTGCAGGCATTTAGCTGTTTAAAATAAGATTTTCCCAAAGTTTAATATAGGAAATAATTTCATATAGAACTATATACTTGATTCTTCGAGGTGTAAACATTATAATAATTATTTTGTTAATTAAACCTGACTGATAAAGGAATACAAAATCAAAAACCTATCGCTAACAGGTATTTAACCTGAAACGAAATGATACGAATATTTTGAATTTATTTCTATTAATTCATTTACCACAGCAGTAGGACGGAACCCACATTAAGCAAAACCAATAAATAAGCCAGTCTACTTCAGTCAGTCATAGAGAAAAACTGTATCAGCAAGAACCAGTTATGAATGTTTGTTTCGCTTTGATTTTGATAGTAGTGGCTAGTGTATGCATTCCCGTGAACTCGTATTCACACTTAAATGAGGACATGAATAAAGTGTCAGTAAAGAAAACTAAGGGTAAATATTAGTTATATCTGCAACATGTATGTATTAAAATAGTTAATTACCCTCAGACGGATGGCAATGTGGCGGAATAATGTGCCCCAAAAAGTTTACAGCTTATTGTACAGTGACTAAAATTTTGCAGCCAACTGAAAAAGTTCACACCGAACTTCTTATTTTATGCATGGATAAAAACAATAAAGCAAAGTGCGGCATAACGCGAACTCGAAAAGGCGTTATAAGGGAACTTTTAGAAGCGGACGAAGATGGAAATACGCAATATGCATTAGTAGAGAGTATTTCGGTCGAGGATGGGACAAGGATTCCAAGGTGCCCATTTGTACCTCCGATTCGGTCGTAGTGATCACACAATTTCACACAAATATGTATATTTTATTCGACACATGTTAGATAACTTCTAAATATTATGCACTATAAAAATAAATATATATTTTGTGACAACCAATTAAGGTTTATTTATCTTATAGGGAAAATATATTTATAGCTTGGCATGTTATGTTCAGATAGATCTTAGAAAAACAAAATTAATAGACAACAAAAAGGTTTTACATATAAATAAAGGTAACGCATACAAAAAACAAATAATTAATATTTTCATAAATTGAACTAAGAAGGATCTGAGAGGATTTTAGGATCACGTGACTAGGTTAAACACGAATGTGAATTAAATAATTGCACCTTTCAAAAACATACAAAATTAAAGTTAAATAAATTAAGTACTTCAATTAGGTTTGTAAATATTACAATAGGCTAGTCTAAGAGTGCTCTGCCACCGCTCGAAGTTCCTCCATTAGGGAAGGCATGACCTCAGCTCTTCTCTGGTCCCGACCAGCACTGAGCAGCCTGCTTAGCTCCTCCATATCAGTCTGACAGGCGGTAACACCCTCACTCAATCGGCACAAATTCGGTTGGCACTGCTGACTGCGCTCGATCAGCTCTAAAATGAAACTATTGCGTGGGCGACATGTCTCATTGGCGGTTTGTTGGACGAGCTAAGTCGAGGAAAGGCAGTTTAATCAATGAACTTTTAACTAATGTAAGTGGATCAGGGTTACCTTCTTGTAGTCATCAATTAGATTAGCCACCTCATGGGCTGGTTCCAGGGGTGTGGAGCTGGCCGTGGATTTTCCCGAGTCTGAGGCCTCAAAACGCGCTCGCTCAGCTGCCAAAGTTTGCTCTAGATACTAAGGAAAATGGAATTTATTTACTTTGGGTCAATTTATCTATATTTCTCTGGCCAATGATAAATTAATAAAGGTAAACATATGTTTGCCATATATGTTTATATTTTTTTTAAACCCATTTCTTACCTTAATTTTTGACAAAGCTTGCTTATGCCTTCCGCTAATCTCAGCCAGCTTTATTTTGAGCCCAGGCAACTCTTCAGCCTTTCGGTTATTCACTCTCCCGATTCGCAGTTCCTTTCGCAAAAGTTTGGCCAACTGAGGCCAGCTTTTGATGTGTGGCAGCCGCCTACCCGTTTCCATTTCCAGAACTTGACCGAGGGATCGCAAGCACTCCACTGCCTTGCGTTCATCTCGAGCACTTGCTTCCCGTTCCTCGAGCAACGATTTTACCTGGCTTTGTAGCCGCTGTAAGTTTATCGAATCGGCGGAGTGAATCTCCAGATTCTCTTGGAATGTTTCCTTCAGCAACTGTAACTCCAGTCGATTCTCCTCGTCCTTGGCCACGCTCAATTTCTGCAGCTTCTGCAGTTCATCATTTTGTCCTGCAAACAGTTCGTTTAGTTGCTCCAACTCAATAGTCTTATGCTGGAGCTCCGTCCGCATTTCTATCTCTAAGTGTTGAGTGGCTTGCAGGGCCTCTAGAAGTTGTAGCCAGTCAGCTTCCATTTCGTTTGTGCTCTTGATCTTGGCATCTTGTTGCAGGAGTAATTTTTGCAGCAGGGAGACTGTTTGCAATTTCTGGGTCTTGACATCGGCAAGTTGCAGTTCCAGATCCTCGATGCGTTGGACTAGAATCGGGTTATCAAGGTCTGCTTGGGTCGCTTGGCACTGTTTATTGTCTTGACTTGATCGTTCGATCGTTTTCAGCTGCTCTTGCCAAATCTCTGCATTCTTGTTTTGCTCATTCATTCGGCATTCAGCTTTTACCAACGCTTTCCTAAGCTCATCGCACTGAGCTGCATAATCTTGGAGTCTTTCCCTTAGTTCATTTTCCCTAAGGGAACTTTCCTGCTTTAGTTTCCCAATCTCAATTTTCTCCAGTTCCAACTGCAGTTTGGTCTCTTCGCACTTGGAACACATCTCGGCATACTGTTCCTGAAGGGCGTTTACTTTCTGCTCCAACTGTTTTAGAGTATTTTGCGCACCTTTCAAATTTTCTTTTAGGCTTTCCTTTTCCTTTTGCAAAGCAGCCAAAGAAACTGTTAAATTCTCCACCTGCTCCAGCTTGAGAGCATCGCTTTGGCGAAGCTGCTCCTCCTGCAAAAGTTGAGCCTGCAAAGTGAACTGTAACTGCTCCAGCTGTCGCTGCTGATCTTCGCTTTGTTCCTTTAACTGGGACATCATCATCAACTCCGACTGAAGCTCGTTGAGGGAATTCTTCAGGCTGGCGATCTCACTCGTCTTGCTGTTAATCTCTTCGTGAAATTTCAGGCTATACGAGTGCATGATTTCCATGCTGCTTTCCCGAGTCAACTTTTGCTGGTAGTAGTGTTTCAGATCGATGAACTCCTGCTCCTTTATCGCCAGCAGTTGCTCCTGCGTTTGCAGCGTCTCGTTCAGCTCGGCGATGACCTGGCGGAGCTGCTCCCGCTCGGCGGTGACACTGCGCAGCGCAGTGCTTCTGATTTCCAGCTGGTGCTCCATTTGGCTCTTCAGGTCGAGTAGTTGCTTGCACTTTCCCGTCATGTGTTTGCTCTCCAGTTCCATCCCGGCCAAAGATTGCTGCAGCTCCGACAGCTTTTCGTCGTGCTCTAGGCTGAGTCTCTGAATATCGTCCAGGAGCATCTTTTTCTGCTTTCGGAGGACGTCTATCAACTGGCGCTGATCCCGGAGGCGAGCCTCCTGTTGCTTGGCCTCAAAGGATGAGTCGGGGGACTCCGAGTCCGCCTTAAATGGAGATGTGCCGGGCCCTGGAGATCCCTGCTCCTGCTGCCTCTCCAGAGTGGCACACTTTGTGTGCAAACGCAGCGACTCCTGCTGCAGCCTTTGGTTCTCCATCAGATACTTTCGCTCCTGGGCGTACAACCGTTCCAGGGTCTCCAGTCTGCTGTGCTTCTGGGACTTGAGCTCCTGCTTGTACCACTGCTCCGACTTCAAGAGTCTTTCCACCTCGCTGCGCGACCGAAGGAGCTCCTGCCTCACAAGAAACATCGATTGCTCACGTTCCGGCTCGGGCTTCGACCCAGGATCGCCTCCTCCCTCGTCGCTGGTGCAGCTGAAGTGGCCGGAGTCATCAGCCAGAGCTGCAGCACCCTCGCAGTGTGAATCCATTGCAGAGCTGTAAGTAAAATTTATTTTAAGAGATTGAGTTCGTGGCCAAAAACGAGTTTTGTGGGCGTATGCAAATCCGGAAAAACGGCTTCACCTTCCCGTTGAAACTTACCAATCTATGTTGCAGCACTCTAACTGAAGGGTTGTTTTTGTGTTACTTGTAAGTAACTCACAACATTTAACGAGAAAACTACATTTTAAGCGAAATAAACAAATCGTGCAGAAACTTTTCACCCAAACAAAACAGCTGATAACAATAAAAGTAAGACCAAATTAGAGATGATTTAAAATGCTTGTATGCAAGAAAAATACCAATTCAACTTTTTTGTATCAATAGCCTAGTACTCAGTACGACGAAAACTGCTAGCTAAGCATAGGAGTAAGCGAGAGGCAAATAGGTAGCTAAAGCCTTTAGCTGGGACTTTTTTCCACCTCGGTACTCAGTTGAGCTAAGGAAATAGTAAGAAAATACCACTAAAATACCAGATTTAGCGGATGAATTCTGATGAACGCCTTTAGCCGCGGCCCAAAGAATAAAGCCTAGTACTCAGTACGACGAAAACTGCTAGCTAAGCATAGGAGTAAGCGAGAGGCAAATAGGTAGCTAAAGCCCTTAGCCGGGGACTTTTTCCCACCTCGGTACTCAGTTGAGCTAAGGAAATAGTAAGAAAATACCACTAAAATACTAGATTTAGCGGATGAATTCTGATGAACGCCTTTAGCCGCGGCCCAAAGAATAAAAAATTTGATCTTTGGCTGTGTTTGTGCAGAAGCGGTGTGCCAATAACATATTATAAATAGAATGAAAGCCCCAAAAACCAATGGAAAACTGCCTGTAGGAGTTGCAGCAATACATATCCTCATTGCAACAGCAAATTTAAAACTTGCGACCTAGGTCGGCTAATCATTTTATAATATTTCAAAATTGGCGCCAGTTGATTTGTTTGCAGAGAGTAAGACCATGCTACATGCATTGCGGATGAACTCCGAAAACTTCGGTCACACTAAATGATTAATATTTTTCGACTAGTGAAACTCTTAGCCGAACTGAGTACTAGGCTTAAAGCCTAGTACTCAGTGCGACGAAAACTGCTAGCTAAGCATAGGAGTAAGCGAGAGGCAAATAGGTAGCTAAAGCCCTTAGCCGGGGACTTTTTCCCACCTCGGTACTCAGTTGAGCTAAGGAAATAGTAAGAAAATACCACTAAAATACTAGATTTAGCGGATGAATTCTGATGAACGCCTTTAGCCGCGGCCCAAAGAATAAAAAATTTGATCTTTGGCTGTGTTTGTGCAGAAGCGGTGTGCCAATAACATATTATAAATAGAATGAAAACCCCAAAAACCAATGGAAAACTGCCTGTAGGAGTTGCAGCAATACATATCCTCATTCCAACAGCAAATTTAAAGCTTGCGACCTAGGTCGGCTAATCATTTTGTAATATTTCGAAATTGGCGCCAGTTGATTTGTTTGCTGAGAGTAAGACCATGCTACATGCATTGCGGATGAACTCCGAAAACTTCGGTCACACTAAATGATTAATATTTTTCGACTAGTGAAACTCTTAGCCGAACTGAGTACTAGGCTTAAAAAATTTGATCTTTGGCTGTGTTTGTGCAGAAGCGGTGTGCCACTAACATATTATAAATAGAATGAAAACCCCAAAAACCAATGGAAAACTGCCTGTAGGAGTTGTAGCAATACATATCCTCATTCCAACAGCAAATTTAAAGCTTGCGACCTAGGTCGGCTAATCATTTTGTAATATTTCAAAATTGGCGCCAGTTAATTTGCTTGCTGAGAGTAAGACCATTCTACATGCATTGCGGATGAACTCCGAAAACTTCGGTCACCCTAAAATATTAATATTTTTCGACTAGTAAAACTCTTAGCCGAACTGAGTACTAGGCTAATAAACTGAGAGCTAGTAACGAAAGCAGCCTGATAAAGCCTAGTACTCAGTACGGCTAAGAGTTTTACTAGTCGAAAAATATTAATCTTCTGGTGTGGCCGAAGTTTTCGGAGTTCATCCGCAATGCATGTAGCATGGTCTTACTCTCAGCAAACAAATTAGCTGGCGCCAATTTTAAAATATTACAAAACGTTGAGCCGACCTGGGTCGCAAGCTTTAAATTCGCTGTTGGAATGGCGATATGTATTGCAGCAACTCCTACAGGCAGTTTTCCATTGGTTTTTGTGGTTTTCCTTCTATTTAAATTGTTATAGGCACACCGCTTCTGCACAAACACAGCCAAAGATCAAATTTTTTATTCTTTGGTCGGCGGCTAAAGCCTAGTACTCAGTACGACGAAAACTGCTAGCTAAGCATAGGAGTAAGCGAGAGGCAAATAGGTAGCTAAGGCCTTTAGCTGGGACTTTTTTCCACGGCGGTACTCAGTTGAGCTAAGGAAACAATAAGGAAATACCAAAAAAATACTAGATTTAGCGGATGAATTCCGATGAACGCCTTTAGCCGCGGCCCAAAGAATAAAAAATTTGATCTTTGGCTGTGTTTGTGCAAAAGCGGTGTGCCGATAACAATTTATAAATGGAAAGAAAACCACAAAAATCAATGGAAAACTGCCTGTAGGAGTTGCTGCAATACATATCGCCTCTTCAACAGGGAATTTAAAGCTTGCGACCCAGGTAGGCTCAACGTTCTGTAATATTTTAAAATTGGCGCCAGTTGATTTGATTGCTGAGAGTAAGACCATGCTACATGCATTGCGGATGAACTCCGAAAACTTCGGTCACACTAAATGATTAATATTTTTCGACTAGTGAAACTCTTAGCCGAACTGAGTACTAGGCTTAAAGGCGTTCATCGGAATTCATCCGCTAAATCTAGTATTTATTTGGTATTTTCTTACTATTTCCTTAGCTCAACTGAGTACCGAGGGGGAAAAAGTCCCCGGCTAAAGGCGTTAGCTACCTATTTGCCTCTCGCTTACTCCTATGCTTAGCTAGCAGTTTTCGTCGTACTGAGTAGGGGAGAGTGGGGGAATTTCGTCAGCATTTTTTCAAAGCTATTTTTTGTCCATCTTGAGACACGTTATCATATTTCTATTTTTATTGTTGAATGCGGTTAGCACCAAGCTTTAAAATGTGACATTCCCCTATTTTTTTAATTAGCTTAGTGATTTATAAAAAAATAAAATGTAAAACCAATATACTGGGGCAATCTCACCACACAGGGGGGTAAAATCACCACACAACTGGGGAAATTTCGTCACCTAAAAAATGTAGGGAGTTTAACGCCTGAAAATATGCTACACTGATCAAGCGTACCATTTTTTTGACGTCCTATATTTGTTGCTGCTGCTGGTAGTCTGTTCGTTAGCCAGCTCGTCAAATATAAAAATATGTATTTAAAATAGGTGCGAATTTACCCTTAGCGTAGGGTGGCGAAATTTCCCCAGACCGTACTTTTTTAGAAATAATTATTTTTCTTGCGAAATTAGGCGCGAAGTTAAAAATCACTGACGCAGAAATGCACATTATAGCACTGTGTATTATATAAAAAATCGTGTATCTTATTCCTTTTGAATTGTGGCATACAGAAAAAATTTCGTCGAGAACTAAATGTAGCTTTTGAACTGTTAAAACACATTTAATATTATAGCTTAATTATCTTGGCCTTCTGTGCAAAACAAATGCATTGGTTGTGTCTGGCCGTCTTGAAGGACTAAAACAAAAAAATTATATATTTTTACGACTTATGGATTCCGAGATATTGCAGGTGACGAAATTGCCCCTGTGACGAAATTCCCCCACTCTCCCCTACTAGGCTTAAATGTAGAAAATAATTATAAAAAATGATTAATTTCACATGAAGAGCTTATTACGATAGGTGCAAAATCACATCTATCGAGGAAATTTAAAAAAAATTAACTTCGTTACACCGTGTTATTTGTATTTTTTTATATAAAGGTTTTCGTCAACTAACTTTCTTTAAAGAATTTAAACTGTTTAAATTCAATTAAAAACGATTTTACTATAATTCTTAAATGCTTTATCCGGCAAAAAAAAATTAAAAAATAGATCAAAAATATTCTAAGAAATCACCATATTTACATTATAGTATCATAAAATCATGAAAAGCTTAATACTCCTCCGCTTCCCTTCTACACCACCAGTTGAATATCTAAAAATATGTTAGTACAGTAAGGGGCTGTCCATGTATTACGTAATCACATTTTTGGTGATTTTGTAATGAATCATGTAATCAATTTCTTACACAAAAAAAAACTTCCCCCCAAATAAGAATATCACGTAAACTTAAATTAAAAACACATTTTCTTTAGCATTCGTGACGTGACAAAAGCATCGATCGTCGCCAAAAAACATCGATTTCTCAAACAAATGTAAAGCATCGATGCATCGATGTTTTTATCGACGCTGCTCCACCTCTAGTCCAAGAAACCATCACAAAAACATGAATTAGCCAGTAAAAGCCAAGTGAAAACAGACCTATTTCTTCTGTGGCATCCAAAATTGCGTTCCAATCCGCGGCGTAAGATGTTCGATGGTGCCAATAGCGCCTAGCGGAGCCCGGAGAACGCGCAGTATGTAAGAACGGCCTGTTGGCGAATCGTGCAATTGCGTCGTGTTACAAAACAACAATTTGCGCATCATGGCCAGTGCAGCGGATGACTCGGAGTCCGGGGGTCAGGAGGATCGGGAGAGTTTCGCCATCTACCACGAGGGCAGGATGCTGCAGCTTCACTGGCGCGGCTTGCCTCCCCTTCGGCGGGCTCCCGCATCGCGGATTTGCAGCATTGGCGAGGGCCTGCTCCTCCTGACCACCGACCACGCCCTCTACTCCGCCCAGCTGCAGGCCAACCGCAACCACCTGGACATACAACTCCTGCGCACGGACGTGGTGGACATGGACTTCTGCTCCGGCAGCCAGGAACTCTTTGTGGTGCTCAGCAACGGCTCTGTGCAGCGCCAGTCCACGGGACCTGGTCGGGATGTGGGTCACCCGCACGCCTGGCAAACCCTCGGCTTCGATCCCCTGGAACTGCTCGCCGAGGGCGTTCGCATCCGGCGCGTTTGCTGCTCCGCCCAGGGCGTGGTCTTCGTCGGCTCTGCCGGGGAAACCTATGTCATGGGCAGTTGCGGAGAGGTCTTCAAGGCGGAACAACAACCCCGCCACATGCGCCTATACGAAGAGGGAAAGGAACTGCTGGACTTGGCTGCCGGCAACGAGCACTTCGTCATGTTGGTTGCTCCCTACAACCTGGCCGACGATGCGCTCCAGCTTCCGGTGGCCAGTGCGAAGGAAGAGCCCGAGGACGAGCGCGCATCGGTTAAATCCCTCAGCAGCGACAACTCCGAGCGCAGCTTTGCGGCCAACACGAGGCACCTGCTCCATCAAGGCTACGCCCTGCTCCACACCCAATTATTCACCTTCGGAGCCTCCAATAATGGCCTCCTGGGCACCGGGGATCACATCCGGCGGGCCAATGTCATGCGTCTCCAGAAACTGGACAGCATGGGCGTGTGCAGCATTGCAGCCGGGCTGGAGCACACGGTGGCCCGCACGCTCGACGGAAGGCTCTACCACTGGGGCCTAAACAATCACTCCCAGCTGGGCGAGGATGTAAGCTCGCCCATGGAGATCACCATAACGGATAGCTCGGCGACACTGCCCTTGGAGCAGAACTCGGCGCTAGAGGCGACTTGCGGCGACTACCACACGCTGCTGCTGAACGCCTCTGGACAAATACAATCCCTGCAGCCGCCGCCTCCCATGCGACACCTGCAGCAATCTAGCACCTATGCCCAGACGCTCCTCCAGCTTCAATTGGGAGCCGCGTGGCCCCGACAACTGCGCCTGCTCATGTCCTCCGGCGGGTACACGCTGCAAAACCAAAGGCAGTTCCAGCGCCAGTATCACTACTACCTGAGTCACCTGCAATCGCAGTTGCAGCTGCTGCTCAAGCACCGCCAGGCAGTCCAAACACTGGAGATCTGGCAGCGGCAGTCGGCGCTGGAAGCGCTCAGCGTCCTCGGTCCGCTGTTGGTCAACTGGGAGCGAATCCTGTGCCTGCTTGTGGCCACCTTGCATTCGTTGGAGGGCTTCTACCGAGCTGATTTCGTGCAGCCCGCCGATCTGCTGTTCATCTGCCACCACAAGGAATACATCGAACTGTTCGACGGCTACACAAAGGCCTATTGCGATGTGTACTCGGTGAACGGATTTGTTGAGGCGGTGGCCGCCATTGCTGGACTCAGCAGCCCACTGGCCGAGCTCAACGAGGAGAGCTACGTGACTCGGTTGTTTCAGCAACCCTTCAGTATCTACCAGCTTTTTGTGCAGTTCATGGAGCTGCTAGTCAAGACGCAACCGGAGTACGGAGAGCACAGAGTGGCCTGGTCGGAGTTTGCGCGACACAGCTGCATCAGCCAGGAGCTGGCCGTGAACACCAGGGATTTCTGGAGCAGCAACGATCGCAACCCAAGGATAGTTCAGTTCAGAAAGCGCCAGCGAAGGGTGATACTCACGTCAGCCCTGGTGCCTCTGAAACTAGTCACCTCTGGCATCAGCATGTCCAGCAATAGCTTCATCTTGTTTTCGGACTTCCTCTGCCAGGTGGGCGGCAACTCGCTGTACTCCTATCCCTTGACTACCCTGTGGGTGTGGACCGAAGGCGACCTGTACCTGCGCTTGACAACGCCGGAAAAGACACTTTTGGTAGCAACGCGTACGCAGGAGATGCGCAAGGTGTGGCTGGACCAGCTGCAATCGAGCATTGTTGCGTCCTTGGGCAGGCCACTCGGCAGCCCGGTGCCCAGTTCTCGCTCCACGGGCTACGAGTTTAGTCGCGAGCACCCGAAGTTCTCCAGGGTGAAGGCGTGCGGTACCTGGAGAAAGGGTGTCCTTCACGGAAACTGCTATCTTGAGTATCCGGACGGCAGCGTTTACTGCGGAGAGCTGTATTATGGTACCATCGAAGGTAAGAGATAATTATTTAATTTAAAACTAGAGGGAACGCGATTAGACTAGTTTTCAGCCAAAACGCTTCCCAGCAATTGATTCTGTTAGTGCTGGACTCAAAATAATACTAACTTTTTTCGATAGATTTTTTTAAAAAGATTTTTTAAAATTAAAAATGTGAAATTTCTGTCTTTTTTTAACTTCTTCTTACTTCTGGACTCGTATCCACCCAATTAGGATAGTTTTCATTATTTTATTTAAGTTAATAGATCAGAGCTTAACTTTGCGACAGAATATTATTTGCAAAATTCGCGGTTCCATTTTCTAAAGCAATTTATCTATGAAAACAAATTTTAAATGGCATTCTGGGTACAATGTACATAAGTACTTTCCGATATTTAATTTACTCAGTTTTTAGAAACTAATTAAAAACATTTTAATGTACAGGCTATGGCAAAATGGTGATTCCGTCATCGGGCCTGTATGTGGGTCACTTCAAGGGTGGACGCTTCCACGGTCACGGTGTTTACGAGATCCACAACAAGGACACTCCAGAAAGCGAGGTGTACGAGGGAAACTTTTGCGAGGGTCTGTTCCACGGCCATGGAATGATGCGCAACAACCGATACATCTACGTGGGCGAGTACCAGGCCAATGCCCGCAGTGGCTACGGTGTGATCGAGGACCTGGTTAGTGGGGACAAGTACATGGGGATGTTCGCGGACAACAAGCGATCTGGCATCGGCAGCTGCATCACAAACCGCGGTGACTACTTCGAGGGCAGCTTCTCCGGAGATGACCTGATGGGCAGTGGAGTTGCGGTCTTTGAGAATGACTACTACTATGAGGGCGAACTCACGCTGCACGGCCCCAACGGGCGGGGCGAGTATTACATGCCCAGCGGAGATGCCGGGAGTGGATGTTTAGCGACCGGGGAGTCCGACGACACTTGCGAGCTGATCGGTAACAAGATGTTCGGGCAGCTGAGCGGCACCTGGGAGACGGTGCGCATCCAGGCTGGCGAACTGGTACTAAATCGGCGCTTTCCCAAGTACCCCAGGTTAGTTAATGCGACACAAAGTAAATGATTACATTTCTAAACTATCCCCTTTTCAGCTCCCTTGGACGCCAAGTGGTGGACCACAATCGCAAGTGGCGCTCGCTGTTCAACAACTTCGAATCGGACCTGGCTAATTGTACGGCCAGCAGCAGCAGCTCCGGTGGAAATCCATCGGGAGGCACCCTCAGAAAAGCCTCGAAACCCACGCTCAGCACGGCTCAAATGTGGAACTGCATAGCGGTGTACATGAGCAAGCAAAGGGCTCGAGAAGGAGCCAAGCCCGGAAACTACTTCAACAACATTCTACTCAGTCTGCCGCTGCCGCAGAAGACCGACTCCCCGCTGGCGAAAGCACGGACCACCACAAACACACTGAGTAAGCTTCAGACGGAGGCGCTGGACTTTCTGGGCTTTCCGCCACGCCGCATCCACTCCCAAGAGGCACTTAACAGCAAGCCAGGTGAACTGCAGAGGGCGGATAGCTTGCTGTCCATGGGCCACAACACATCTCGGGACTTGGACACCAGCAGTTTGACCAGTTTTCAGTTGGACCAAAGCCTGCTAAACAGCACTTTGAATGGCGACGAGTCCAGCACGCTGAATGAAAGTTTTACAAAACTAAGTCACAACAACAATAACAGCATCTCGAAGCACATGAACAGCAGCGATTGCTCGATTACCTCCACAACATCCGTGAAGAGTGGACTGCTGGAACAGGTACCCAGCTTTGGAATGGCCTCGGTGCTCACGGAGCAGGATGTGGCCTCTATTCGGTTGTATCTCGAGCAGGCTTTCAAGGATCGCCATCATCCGCTGTACGCCTTGAATGAGCGCATCGCAAACTGCTTCCACTACTCATACGGCTACTGGAAGGTTAAACCCACCCCGATCTTGGCCAAGCAGGCCATGAGAGAGTGGGAGTCCATATCACGTCGCATTTACCGCTTTGTGCGCAAGATGTTTCCAGCTTTGCCCGAGGACTATTGCCACATGGAAGGCAGCCGGGAGGTTATATCGCATATTACCCTGCTGTATCCACTTGTGTTGTCAGAGGGTATCTACTCCACCCTTTTCGTGCTGTACGCCAATAAGTACAGTCGAAAGGATGAAATGTATCGGCAGAATCTGAATCTTGCCGAGAAACTTAAGGACCAAGAGCTCGTTGAACTAATGGGTCATGAGAGGTACAATCATTAGGAAAAAACAATTAAGCTAAACTAACCAAAAGGATGTCCTAAAAATACTTGATATTTATTTCTGTATTTTGGTTTCAGTTTCTTACATAACGTTATGCTGGATCCCAAATTTGAGGAGTCCGTCCAGACGTTAAAGGAGCTGCAGGAGAAGTTTAGTCCCCAGGACATGTTGACTGTGATACAGCGCAGCACGCAGCTGCTAACCGAGGCCTACGAGCACGCAATGGCTGGTGAGTTCTCATTCGCATAGAAAAACGTAAAAGCGTTCATTAATATCCATTTTTACAGCAAATGCCGCCCAGCTTAACGCGGACAACATGATTCCGCTCACCATGCTCACGATGCTGCGCGCTGCGGTTCCCCACTTGGGTGCGGAGTTGGCTCTGCTGGATGATCTGACGGGTGGCCCCAATTTTCAGGCCGAGATGAATGGAATGGCGGGCTACTGCTACACCACACTGAAGGCCGCCTATGAGCACGTAACCTCAAGGGCTTTGCAAAAGAACCCTTGAGCGGGTTAAGCTGAAAGATAACAGCTTTAACGTTAATTTGTTTTCCTACTTGTTAAATCGAACCACTGAAATTGTCGCCTCTCGGACTCTCCAGGCTCAAGGGTAAAATAAGCACTGTAAAGCTTAGGTGAATTTGAAACGCAATTGTTGATTTCCCGCATATACTCTGTACATACCTTCAACGACAAAATTCCCTAATACAATTACGGGCATCGATTCTGTACAGAAGCTAAGATCAGTGTAGGCAATGTGTATCTATGTATTTATGTATGTATCTGTTTTGTATATTCTAGGCCAACGCATTAACATTCCGATTACTCACCAAACCAAATAAATAATATACACACATATACGGGATCTAAATGGTCTCAATATCCTTGAGGGTCTGCCGTTTCTGGTCCTGGTCCGCGGTGAACAAAACGTCCGCCATTTGGGGGGCAAAGTTTGTCTGGTCCACTTTGTAAACGATATACTTTTCGGGGAACGCCGTGCCCTCCTCGTTGTTGTACACCAGGATCACCGGATCGTTCTGCTTGGCAATCTTCCGCTTGACCAAGTAGGCCATCCCATAGATGGCCTTCCGAAAGACGTTCCTCCGGTGCGTAATGAAGGATTTGGTGCGAAAGGGAAGCATGGTGACGTTGTGGTAGATCGAAACGTAGTCCTCGGCGGAGCGCATGTGGCTGACGAATAGGATGGGTGCCTGCGGTCGGAAGTGGGCTATCTTCTGCACCATCCGCGTGGTGACCCCGATGACGACGATGGACACCGCGCGAACCTCCATGGAGGCGGCTACCACGGCCCGCGCCAGGCTATCCGCTCCAGTGTGGGAACGATCGCAGTACGGAGCGCTGGCCAGCGCCACTGGGCAGATCTGCTGGAAGATGGCGTCTTGCAAGAAGCGGAAGTAGATGGTGTCTTTCGGCTGGGGACAGGTCACCACGTACTTGTCCGGATAGTAGAACGTGTAGTAGTAGTGCGCCGGGTCCACCCTGAGCTTCTGCTCGTCCAGAAGCCGCGGGTCAAAGACAATGGGTTTTTTCGAGGCGTAAGCCAGCTGCATGAAGCACTCTGCGTCGGGACACAGGTGCATGATGTCCGGAATAATTGCCGGCTTGGCCAGTTCCACCAGGAAGCCATCGTAGCGCTTGATGGCCCAGTTCAGCTCCCCCTTGCAGCCCTGGATCTCGTTTAGAACCACTCTGGCGTACAGCCGCATGCCATCGCAGTGCATAACGGCCATCGCGTGCTCCAAATCGTCCAGGTATTGCGGGGTGCCCACGATGTGCGACACCACCACATTCAGGCCAACCTCTCGGGCGAAGGTCAGGTCCTCCAGCTCCTCGTACGAGACCCGGAAACGACGGCACCTGGCCGGAAACAGGACGGGCATGTGGGCGTACAGCACTCCGCCCCTGGCCACACAGCACTTGAGGTGGTTCGCATGGACGCTCCGCACCATCAGCTGGATGTCCTCGCCAATCAGGATGAAGTCCAGTTCCTGAACATCAACAATCAGAAATCTTGCATTCACATATATAACTTCCGAGCTGCACCGGTCGGAGTACTCTCGATCTACAGTCAGTATTATCTTTTGGCCCTGCACCAATTCAACGGACGTCTTGCCATCCTGGCAGAACTGAGTGCTGAAACCGCCGGTAAACTGGTGCCGTGGAGAAATTTTCACCATGACCGAGGACACCACCGGAAAGCCCAACTCCTTGGAAACACTGATCTCCGCCTCCCGCAGCTTCACGATCATACTCTGGTTGTCGTGCTGGGTGCCCACGGATAGGTTGATCAGGAAGCAGCGCACTCCGTTTACTGAAAGGAATTGGGAATGCATGAGAATCGGAAATGAGTGTTATGATCATTTTTAGTTAGCAGCGGACTTGGTTGAACTAAAACACTAAATCTCTTGGTCAGTCAAAAAAAAAGAATGTTTCGTTAGACAATTGTCGGTTGAAAATTAGTATTCGAAATTCGACAGCAATGTTAATATACCTTGATGTTACAATAAATTATGTATTATCAATATGGCTTCCAAACTTACGCAGATAACTTTTCAGCTCATGATCACAGTTCTTCATTGCCGACAGTTCGATACACTTGCGGTTTTCGTTGGGATCAGGGGCAAGTGGGGTTGTCAGGATCTGGAATCCCTTGAAATAGCCGTGCCATCGGTCCTCCTCGAACGGGATGTTGCACAGGTCCTCGCTTAACTCCTCGAAGTCGAGCTCCTCCTCCGAGCCCGTGTCAGATTTTTGGTTAAAGCCCGAGACCAGGGAATACTTGGAGCGGAGGACCATCATCTCGCTTCCGCCCCGGTTAATGCTGACGTCGTCATCCTGACCCAAAAGGCGAACGAAAGTATTCCTTCGCTGCATGTTCCCCAGCTTCTCTTTGGCCTTTTGCAACTTCTCCACGTCCACGGCGATGAGCCGCAGCCGGATGAACATGTTGTCCATTAGAGACTCGATGGTCGTGACCTTCTCCTCGTTACTCTCCTCCTTTTCACTCATGGCTCAAGTTGATAGGAAATTTAGAGAACAAATAACAGTGGAATCGTGAAATTTGTGTGACTTTGTAAAATTCGTATAACAATAATGTTTATCATTCAAAGTTTGAAAGTAGAATCTTCCGGATTTGTTTCTTCTTAATTAAAGTCTATAAGATTCGTTATTAAATCAAATAACTTAATGGATTACCATCGGTTTATTACTCTATGAGTAACGAGTATAACAAGAAAAGTATCTAAAATTCACTTCCACAAAAAAATCCACCAAGCTAAAAAGCTTTAAACTTGAATAAAACATATTTTCACATAATTTTGACCAGATATTAGTTTTTAGTTAGTTTGATCATCAGCTAAACTAAAAAATGTGAGTAAAGTGGTAAGAATGAAAAGTCAAACCCATTATTAAAATTAAAATCGATTTTTTCAATTTTTTTTTCGATTTTAAAGGTGTGCAAATGTTCCAAGCGATATAAAGGCTTTTAGGAAGGTTTCATCCCGGTAGCTTTAAAACTAAGAGACTAGATCCCGTAGAACCGGAGGAACAGACTCGGATGACAAGATCAACTCGTCTAGTGATGGTCAAAAATGTATATACTGTAAGGCAGTGCGGATCTAGAATTTGGTGGTGATATGGGAACAATATTTTGCTTTCTTTTCATTTCTTTCATTAGGGGAATCATTAGGGGGGATCTATCACCCATGTCACCCCCTTGGATCCACTCACTCTTTGTGGGGTCGGAATTGAAGAAATTTCATAGCAAAGATTTTAAAGGAATCCAAGCTTTCATTTGAAAAAGTTGTATTTTTTGCATTAAAAGTGCATCTTTATACTAATTACTTTACAAAGCAATCAAGCGGAAATACTGATCGATGTGGCCGCAGCGATTCGGTTCATGATGTTGATAAGAAATATACATTTTGATTAAAACTGTATTGTGTTACATACATTTTTAAGCATTTTAAATATACTGATGAATACATATGAAGAGTTTTCCAATAATTTACTTATTTAAGCAATTTATGCCGGAAGCCGTAAACTCAGCAAATGATTCAACAATTACTTATATGTTTCTGTAATAGCAGGCATTCATACGTGCAGGCTGTACAATTACATAATGGTGTCTTGGATGCAGCTAATTATCCGCATGAAGATCCCAACCAAATCGACCTCCTCCGAACCCAGGCGAATGTTTATATCTAGTTTTCCTGCCCTTTTGCCACCCATGCATTTCCCATTTCTACTCAACATATTTATTTTTTCTTTTTAAAAATTCTCCAGCGATAAAAGAAACCGCAATTCGAAGCGCAGGTAACTTTAGTTTTTTGTTGCCGCTGCTGTTGCTCATTTTTGTTTATTTCCGTAATTTATTTGCCTGTTTTGCCCGAAGGCGAAAATGTTAAATTTAGCATCAAGCGTCAAGTGAAATGTTTACAATGTGAGAGAAAGTTAAATGGAAAAGCAGGGGGCGGTTTTTCAATTCGGAAAACAGGGAGCCCTAACTAAGCGTTTTAGAATCTTTTCGGAATCTTGTTTCAACCGAGGCCCAGCACTTGAGCACCGAGCACCGAGCACCCAGCACCAGGAGTTCCGCCCGAAGAAAACATAAACATGCAGGAATGTTTAGAGAATAAAAATGTTCATATTCGCTGCTCTCCTTTTTTTGTGTATTTTCCCCTTTGTTGTTTATTTTCACCCCGCCAACTGATGGATACACCGGCTGACTAAGACCAAAACTAAGACCCGTACACGGACACGGACACGGACATGGAGTGGGGATACGGGCTGGAAGACTGGGTGTGGCCGCAGCCATGTTTAGACCAAACAGCCGATCATCGAATTGTGGAAAGTGTGGAATTCTTTCCGCGCGACTGCGAAAACCGCTTGAACTTTGACGCCGAACTGCACTCATCGATTCGGTTCCCCCTTGCTTTTTGTCCGATTTTAGACACGGATTTTTCTATGCCATGGGGCGTGGGTGATGGGTGGTGGGATGTGTGGCTGCCCATCTGCTGCCATTGAGCAGCAGCATAAATTGCCTGGCTCCTTGGCTCGCGATCGGATCGTTCGGATCTGCACTTGAGAGCAGCCATTCATCGCCACGCTCGCGCCCTCTCTTTTCAATTTTCTAACGCCCTCTCTTTCTAGCCGAACATCGCCATCTCGCTTCCGCCCCCATTCATTTCGTGAATAGAATTTTCTAAATGTCTTTGAGTTTTCAAAATTTTGGAGCGTAGGTGCAGTGCGTCGCGAAGCGTCAGCGTGTACGGTTCGCTTTTAAGATTTCTAGACAATCCTCGAGCGATCGGAAAACCCCACAGTAATAATAGGAAAGTCCTCCCACCTAAGCACCCCAAGAATTAATAATACGTTACACCGTTTAAAATATTTTACAAACTATGTATTCCAACCGATTTAAATTGTGCTGAGTGCCGGCAATTGGGATTCCGAGAACAGGATCTCCTTTAAAGATTCCGCACGGAAGTGGGCGTTTTTGGCCCCTGTTGCCAAGTCCCGAGATCAACCACACCCACACAGGGACAGACACACACACACAGTGACGATAATTTTTCATCTTTCCAATATCCCACTCGACTGGCAAAATATTCGGTTTTGCCGTTTGGCTAAAAATATTTAAAAATCCAAAAGTCCACTCGTGTCGCTGGCGAACGCTTCAACCTACTACGGCCGCCTGTTTTTCATAATTTTCAGTTTTCAGTTTTCAGTTTTATTTATTTATCCTATACATACTCGCACGTCCGCATGTATTCCTCTCTGGCTGTCTGTCTTTTTGTTTTCCGACTGTCGAAGGTTTTGCGCTTTTTGCGCTGCCGTTTCAGTGGGCATGTCGTCGTTTTTGTTTATCCCAGCCCCCGATTTCCCGGCTTTCCCAGCCGCCACCCTTGGCCGTGCATTTTCTAGCTGAATTTTCTCACATTTTCATTTTTTCGCGGCCTTTGTCTCCGCGCGGAGACGGATTTTGGAGTAGGTGGATGCCGCTCTTAATTGCCAGTCCCGCGAAACAAATCACAACTTAATGGGCAGCCTCCTCCCGAGTGGTTTACAACTTCCTTGCCCAGATATCTTTATAAATATATACGTATGTACATGTAGTTGGCATCGGAAGACAGCTGTGTGCATTGGCAGATGCCATCAGCATCATCATCATCGTCGTCGTCGTCCATCCCGTCCATTGCGTATGTGGGGGAAGTCCATAAAAAAAAGAAACCAAACCAGCACACAGTTATAAAAATAAAACTATTTTCGTACCGCCCGTGCATATAGACTCTCGATCATTAGACAGCAGCGCTGATCAGCAGCCCAGCCGCCTCTTGGCACAGTTTTCCAGAGCACAGATTGGTCCATAAATCAATCGAAGCGAATTAAATTAATTCAATTTCTAAACAAGCAGAAACACAAGAACCAATCTCATCGCGATGCCATGTGCTCAGATCGGTATTTGTCTAAAAGTGTACACATAAATTCTAGTCGATTTGTCTTTTTCCGCTTACTGGCGTTTTATATTAACAACGACAGGAAAGGGAAAAAGGCGTATTTACTATGAGTTTGGCCAACAATTTCCAGGTGATCAGGCTATATAAGCCCCGTGTGTAAATGCTGGTAAGTATGTTCCCCCATCTTGCTTGTTAGTGGATATATTTTGTCTGACTAATCAAAGTCAACCGTTTCAACGAAGCATGAAACTCATTTTTCGGCTCATTTACAATCTTTATCATCAAAATCATTAGCACCTATAAAAACTCTAATTAAATTTTAAGATAGATCCTTTTATCTTTTCTTCAGAACATTTTATAGTCCATTACTGTAAATGGGAGCAGGGATTTTGGTATAGTAAAACAAGAGGGCAACACCCAATGACTAGTTCCCTAAAATTACAAAAGTATGCAAAGATCGAGACAAAAAAATAATAAGGAAATCGAAATAATTTCCAGTGTACATATATTCAGCCCGTTTTCCGATTTACATTTTCCAATTGCTCAACATTCAAACGGAATTTTTGAATTTCGATTAATAAGGAATTATATCACAGCGCAAACAAAGAAACAATACTTGCCAGATTCCCCCGGTACGCGAAACTTAACAAATTGCTTCACCCGCCGAAAGCAGATCCAATTCAGATCCAAATCGGGGCATTCTTCGACTTTGCTGTAGCATTTCAAATGAAACGAAAATTAAATGTAAAATTTATTGTTGCATAAACAAAACGCCAAGAAACCGACCGCATCCAAATCGAACGATGCGTATGTGGCACCTTTAAGTATTCTGCCCCTGCCCGCGATGGTTCCACCCATCCCCATCCGCCGCCCATCCTCATCCCCATCCGCATCTCCATCCGCATCCCATTGGCCCCCAACATCTTCATCTGACCGGCTGCTATGTAGAACGCGTATAATATGGTCGGCTGGAGAGGATGGAGAATTTAGTGCTGCCTTATGCCTTATGCCCAGTGGCCAAAAATAACATCAATGAGGGCGAGCGCGGCGACGGACGCCGTGTGTTTGCTTTGTTTATAGTTTTCGTGTAAACAATTGCGAACGGAAAACCGATTCCCCGGCATGTTCACTTTCGAGAAAAATCGAATCTGGAAAATGCCCAAAAAATAGAAAACCGAAGAGGTTGCATCTGAAATCGAACTGAATAGCGTAATGTAAGTGGCGAGGGCAATCGCATCAATCTCTTTAGTATTCATTATTTTCCAAAACTTGAAAGAAAGAAAATGGGCACTTAAACCGTAGAGAGCCTTATACATAGTTTAAGGAATCATTTCAGGAATCATTTCTCTATTATGTTTTCCTTAATTTGGTTGATCTGGCAAGAGTAGATTTGAATTATTTTCTAAAGCTTATTATAGAATGATTATTAAATGAATAACACAGGCCGACAAAATGTGACATGGGTCGGTGTCCAGGCCTGCCACCATTTTATTTCGATAAATGAGGCTTTTCTAAGCATAAGTTGCCACTACGCCTATAGTCCATCAGCTCTGGTATTTGCGGTATCTTTAATTTAAGAAAATCACAAATTTTTCTTCGTCTTTTGGGATATATCTTCAAGAGTGGTCAACCAATTTTGGTAATCTTTTCGGAATTAAATAGTTACATGTCTCTTTTATACGGTCGTTTTGGAAAATTCAATGTAACTCAACCACAAGAGGAGGTGGGCGCATTCAAAATTTTAAAGTCACAGCAAAGTTTAAAAATCTTCATTTGTGAACAGCGTTTAAAAATTAAATAAAAATATTTTCTTCAACAATGCATTTTTGATCCAAAGACACCTTGTGTACTTACTGTTTAGGACACTCATCAGGTTTTTGTGTATTGTTTTGGAATTTTTAAAATTGTTTTTCTTACTTCCTTCACAGTGACGATTCACAAACAGTGCCCAAACCTGTCACAACTTTAAATATCATAATTCTAAACGATCTAAGTAGTTTTGCTTTGAGTATAAGCACATGAGCGTAGCCTACTAATCTTTGGGGGCTGAAATGCTTGAAGTGTAATCCCCCTCCAGCTTTTAGCTTACGCCCATGTATAAATATTTTTAAAGCAAGGGTCACTTGTGCTCAAAAATAGTTATGAGTTACGTAAAATTGTGACAGGTTTGGGCACTGTTTGTGAATCGTCACTGTGAAGGAAGTAAGAAAAACAATTTTAAAAATTCCAAAACAATTCACAAAAACCTGATGAGTGTCCTAAACAGTAAGTACACAAGGTGTCTTTGGATCAAAAATGCATTGTTGAAGAAAATATTTTTATTTAATTTTTAAACGCTGTTCACAAATGAAGATTTTTAAACTTTGCTGTGACTTTAAAATTTTGAATGCGCCCACCTCCTCTTGTGGTTGAGTTAGATTGAATTTTCCAAAACGACCGTATAAAACAGACATGTAACTATTTAATTCCGAAAAGATTTCCAAAATTGGTTGACCACTCTTGAAGATATATCCCAAAAGACGAAGAAAATTTGTGATTTTCTTAAATTAAAGATACCGCAAATACCAGAGCTGATGGACTATAGGCGTAGTGGCAACTTATGCTTAGAAAAGCCTCATTTATCGAAATAAAATGGTGGCAGGCCTGGACACCGACCCATGTCACATTTTGTCGGCCTGTGTAATTAATTTATAATATAAATTTAGCCCAAAAAAAATCTTTACTCAGTTTTCGAATTCTCTCGAATCCAAAGAATGTTAAGATGCCGCAGATGAGCAAATAAGACCCTGATCCCAGGTCGAACATAAATTAAGAACCCCAAATTGCAGGCCGAAATTCGAAATTGCAGTGGGAGATGGAAGATGGGCCAGGGTAAGAAGCTTGCTCTTTAATTAATTCTTAGAACGGGTTTCAAGTAAATACCCGCGGATTCATATTGTACATATTGTGTGTATGTAAGTAGGTGTCTGGATATTGGCCGATAACCGGTAAGCAAGGCGACCAGCAATTCCAATTCCATTTCATTTTGGCAATATAAAGGCTGTCTTCGCTGACTCTGAGTCAAATCAAAGTCAGCCTCCCATCCAGACAGCAGCATGATCAAGATTGTGAGTATTGCAGCACAGGGAGGTGACCACTCCAAGGATTACCCCATTCCCAATCTTCTTCTCAGGGCATCATCTCTTTGGCTTTTTGCCTGGCGGTTGTTCTGAGTGCTCCGCTGGATCATGACAGCACCACCGCCCAGCCACCGGTGGCCATTCTCGAGTCATCCCACGAGAAGCACGAGGATGGGTCCTACAATTTCTCCTACCTCAGCGAGGATGGCACCCACCGCAGAGAGGAGGCGGTGGTACGGAACCAGGGCACCGAAAACGAGTATCTCGAGATCAGCGGCTCCTACTCCTACTTCGATGCCACTGGAAAGGAAGTAACCGTCACCTACAAGGCCGATGACCACGGGTTTGTGCCCGAGGGTGGGGCTATCCTGCCCCAGATTTCACTGGCCGCCAAACAGGTCAGCGAGCAGGTGTCGGAGCCGGATCTTGATTATGATAAGCCCCCTAAGGTCTAATAAACAAATGGCGGAAATTCAACTCAATTTGATGGGTTTTGCGAATTTGGGAAAGAGAAGTAATATTGCTGAAAAATGTAGTGCAATTTCAGCAAAGTCTTTTCTACTCTGCACACGTTGTGATGGTTTTTATTCATTTTCAAAGGCGCAATTTGAATCTCCTTTCCAAAGGCATGCCACATATGAAAACATGTGGGTGAAGATTTAGCAGTGCATTAGAGTCCACACATTTCTTTACTTGATCGAAATAAAATCATTGCTGGGTAAAATTTTACTTTCTTCATTTAATGCAGAAACAATTTCAACTACAAAATAATAGCTAGAGGACCGCCTGCTCGGCCATCCTGGGGTTCGTAAAGGTTAACAGTGCGCTGAACAAATTGAAAATACAAAAATACAACTAGGGATGGGGCGGGGGACGTCGGGATCGGACCGTGGAATTATTATAATACATAAAAGCTCAAAGATTAAATTAAAAACAATGCAATAAATAAGAATTCGATTCTGTCGAGGAAGAGGGGAGGCAGCTCCTTCATTTCTTGACGGGAGTGGCCGGGGGCGACCGGTAGGAGTTGACCAAGCCACCGCCCGAATTGGGCTTGCGGGTCTTCAAACGGTTCTGGAGCGTCTGCAGCAGTCCGGCGAGCACGTCGTGGTTGGGGATCTTCTTGGCGAAGAGCAGGCGCTTCACGGAATCATCGTAGGTGAGCAGGGCCACCATGTTCTGGAGCAGGAAGCACTGGCAGTACTCCAGCAGGCGATTGGCGTTGTAGACCTGGAAGATCGAGAACAGTTCAGCATCTCTATTGAGAACCAGAAGGGTTAGTGTGCAATCCCACCTTGGCGTGAATGTACATGGCCACCACATTGTCGACGTCCACCATTTCCGAGCATCGTGCCTCCGTGTAGCGCAGCAGTCCCTCCAGCTGGAAGAAACTGGCCGCTGCCATCAGCTCCAGGACATCTCCGTGGGCCACGTCCAGGGAGCTGCAGCCGCCGCAGTAGAGGAACTGCATCACCAGCTGGAAGATGTGGTACCGGATGTCGTTGATCTGCACCGTGGGCGTGGAGCTGGCCTCGCTAAGTTTTGAGCTCAGCATGCTCTGGAAGCGCGGCGATGCGGTGACGAGGACGATCTTGTGTCCGTAGAAGATCTTGCCCTCCACTCTGCAAGCGGAAATGTAATGCGCATTGATCATTATGATAAACCTCGGTCCGAGAAACTTTACTTTGCCTCTTATTAAATTTTAAAATAAGTAACATAGTTTGTGATATTTGTGCACCCACCTGAAGGTCACATCGCTGAGTTCCGGATTGTTTACGAACTTGGGATCGATGCGGGATCCCTGGACGGGTTGCATCGGCGGCTGTTCCTTCAACGGGGGCAGTGTCTCCCAGCCGAAGCAGGTGGCGAAGATGTCCGCGAGCAGGAGGGTGGTGCCCTCGTTCTTGTTCCGGAAAATGTTGAACAGCAGGGGCAGGCACTCGCTCACAAACTGGGCACTGTAGTCGTCCGGACACACCTGCAGGAAGTCTTGGAGCAACTGATCTATAACCGCGTCCAGTCGCAGGTCGTGGGCCGCCGAAAGGGCGTGCATCCAGCAGTGCAGGGTCCATGGAACACCTAATTTCCGCAGCTCAATGGTTATATCTGTAGGACAAAAACAAGTAAAGGGGTATAAAATGGATGCAAATTAAAAAAAAATTGGTTTGTTTTTGCTTAGCAATAAATCACAACTCAATTTTCGAACAGGGAGACAGCTTGTAAACAAAACTCTAGCAACGGTTCACGAGTATATCTCGTTTGGAATTGTATTTTTGACTAATTTAAAGACAATCTTAATCCGATCAAATGAATTAGAAAATCATTAAAGACTTGAATGACTTCAGCGGTCATTGCTGTCTGCTTAATTTGAATTGCAAATAGGTCTGCTAATATTTTTAGCAACAAATTTATATACATGAAAATAATTTGGAACAATACATCTTTGGTTTTTAATTAATTTTAAAATTACATTGAATATCTAAATACAAAAAGAAAAACGAGAGAGAACGCTTTAGTCGAGTACCCCGACTATAACATAACCGTTACTCAGTAAAAGCGACTGCTTGCACTGCTTGAATTCCATTATTTGCTCATAACTTTTAAATGAATGGTCCGATCTAAGAAATTCCTTTTACATTTCGATAGGTATTAATTATAACAACAAAATTGCATTTATATTTTTCCGAAATCTTTAAAGATGTGGGCGCTAGACACACGAAAAAGGACGCTTAAGGCGATTGTTGGCTTTGCGCTGCGTTGGAACCCCAAAAATCTGCATGGTGAATCCCAATATTCTAGCTTTTATAATTTCCGAGATCTCAGCGTTCATACATAAAATAAATCTTCCCCGGCCCATTTAGTTTACCTTTTTTAACCCCTTCAAACTGGACTTACCCAAATGATTGTTTTCGGCACTGTGGTACATGGCCTCCTGGAGCCGCTTGATCTGCGTCTTGTTGAGCAGCGGGAGCAAATCCTCGGCGCTTCCACTGCCACTGCTGGGTCCTCCAGCTCCTGCCCCTCCTCCTCTCACGCCACCCACATCGCCCTCGGCCAGCATCTCCTCCAGCGAGAGTACATCCCGCGTGCCGGGCGAAACGGGGTGGGTGAGCAGTTTGCGGAGACATGATCGATGGCCGTGGGCAGCTGCCACGGAAATGGCGCAAAAGCAACCCTTCTGCGCAGATCCCGCAAAGCACAGCGAATCCTTCTGCTGTGTGGACAGGAAGGCGTTGGCCCCGTGCGCCAGCAGCAAGGCCACGATCTCCAGGTTGCCCGTGCCGGCGGCCAACTGGAGAGGGGTCAGGGTGCACTTCTCCTCGCTGCTCCTGGCCCCGCCCTCCACCTTGCCGCCCCTTTCCAAAAGAATCCTCAGGGCCACGTAGTTGGCCCTGCTGGCGGCGAAACTCAGGGCCGTCCAGTGCTGCGTGTCCGGCTGAATGGCCGGGTGACCAGCGCTCCCGGCAGGCGGCACCTCCACGTTCGGATCGCATCCCGCGTCCAGGAGGGCGTGCAGAGCCACCTCGTCATTCCGGATGCTGGCTATCATCAGGGCGGTCAGTCCGGCGCTGTTCTGGGTGTCGTACCGCGTGGTCGGCGGCAGAAGCTGGGCGGCCTGGGCCAAAAGTTCTGCCCGACCTGTCAGAAGAAGCTGTGGCGAAATTCAAATGAACATTTGGACCATAAGCGATAGTTGTATACTTATATATAAAAGCGGTAAAGCATATCAATTGGTTAAGTATCACAGATATAAAAGCGCTCCGTTTACCATTAAGAAGATTGAACTTCTGCGAAAGCGTTACGAAACTACACCGCTAAGAATTCAATATCTTTACAAATTTATTCAGAGTCTTCAAAAGTCTTTAATGAGTAATACATGAATTCTCAAGTTCTGTCCAATAGATACCTTTCCTTTTTAGTCTACATATACTAGAGTAACAAATTCGTACTCGAATTACTTTTAATCAGTCCAGTCTTTTCGATTGAATTCAAAAACTCCGTTTTCAGAGACATTTATCTTTATATTATTAACTTTATAGAGATTTCAGCAGATTGGTAAACTCTTAATGCAAAGAAAGAAACAAAAAAATAGAGTTGGAAACGATTAAGAATGATTAACGTGATCTATGCTATCTTTTTGGTCACCTTTTCAAGTAAGCAGTTCTTCATTTAATTGTGCTGGCTTTCAGAGAAAGTATTATATTTTCCCTTCACATCTTTCCGTTATAAAAATCACTCACCTTGAAGGCAACTCCGATGGTGGCTCGCCTGCCCAGTTCGGAGGTGTCCTCCCCGATTCCCATCCCGATTGCGCTGACCACCGGCGAACTGCAGCTGCTGCTGCCCGTTCCCGTGCCCGTGGAGCTGGCAGTGGGTGGATTGTTGAAGTGCGTCTTCTTCGTGGGCAGCTCCTCGTCGTGGGCCACCGGCCTGATGGGGCAGTCCACTCCGGGCAGGAGCAACCTGGCCGCCTGCATCACGTCGTCCTTGTCGATCATCAGGGCGTTCCGGTGCTCGGCGTGGGCGGCTGCCACTCGCAACCACTCGGCCAGCGGAGGCAGCACCACATAGGCTCGCTCGTAGCACAATTCCTGGACGTGGTGGCCCGCGGAGGAGGCTCCAGCCCCCGGAGGAGCTGTGTGGGCCTGGCCAGAATTGCAGCCAGCCGCGGCGAGAAGTTCCGTGTGCTCCAGCTGGGAGCAGCGCATAAAGTAGAAGAGGGCCGCCAGAGCGGATCCGGAGAGGGCGGCGGCCAGTTGGAACTCCTGCTGGGTACGCAAGGCCTTCTCCTTCAGCTCCCTCACACTTCCCACACAGGTGGCCAGACTGGCCACACTGGCCCATCTGGGCAGGGCCAGGGCTCCACTGGCCACTCTCCCGGCGTTCAGGTGGGCAAACGGTTGCAGAAGACCCCAAACATCGCCGGAACTAGATCGATGCAATAATACGTTTATTCACAATTAATGTAAGTACCATTTATAAAAAAAATAATACCGATTCTTTCCCTATACCGTAATAGTGTGTTTAGATCACTATAATCCTTTTCGAATATTCTAAAAACATCCCCAAAACATTCGAATTAATAATTATATTATAATAAATAATAAGGGGAAAATATTTGCCTACCCAAAACTCATACTGGCTTACGTGCCGTATGAGTAATCTTTTGGAAACTTTGAGACCATTGGATAAGCCCTTAGACTTAATTTAAGATTTTTTGGATTTCGGTTTAAGTTATTTTGCACAAATATCTTGTGTTTAAAAGGGTGAGTGAAAAATTTCTTATAAAAAACCGCTCTAAAACGAACACGTACGAACTGAATATATAAATTTTATTAAATTTTTTTTATTTAAATATAGACTATTTTCGATAATTAAAGAAAAAAGACTACACTGAGAAAACTTGAGATTTCAGTATATTTTCTTCTGACTATTTGAGATCAAGTGTTCTTGAAAT